GAGTACAAAGTGGTGGTGCTGGGCTCGGGCGGGGTAGGTAAATCCGCCCTGACCGTGCAGTTTGTGACCGGCACCTTCATCGAGAAATACGACCCCACCATCGAGGACTTCTACCGCAAGGAGATCGAGGTGGACTCGTCGCCGTCGGTGCTGGAGATCCTGGACACGGCGGGCACCGAACAGTTCGCGTCCATGCGGGACCTGTACATCAAGAACGGCCAGGGCTTCATCCTCGTCTACAGCCTGGTCAACCAGCAGAGCTTCCAGGACATCAAACCCATGCGGGACCAGATCATCCGCGTGAAGCGGTGAGCAGAGCGGGGCGCACGGGGGCTCGGAGGCTGCGGCGATCCCCGGCCCCGGCCCGACCGGGCTGCACCACCTCCTCCTGGGGCTCAGCTTTGCGGGCTTTGTTTCACAACTAAAATTGGGCATCCCTTTCAACCCCAGCCCTTTGTCTCTAGGACGTTGGTAGCGCTGGTTCGGTACCCAGGAGAAAACAAAGTTTCAAACTTGCAGGGAAAGGAGGGATGAGTAGGTGGGCGCGAGGGAAAGGGGAGCTAAGTGTAGGCGCGCCTGTGCAGAGCAAGCGAGCGCGCGCTCAAATCCACCCTTAGGAGGTTTGACAGCCAAAACTTGCACACTGGTATTCTGTGACTGTCAATACGAGTTAGGAGGGTCTTTCTCATCGCGGAAAAGATGAAATGTTGCCAAGAGGTTGGGAGAAATGAATTAGTGCAACACTTTAAAGACACATTGTCGAATAATATGAAGATCTCACAATATTCAGCAGGTTTGGCATATAGAAGCACGCTTTTGACATTTACATAGAAAGCACTCGGCAGCCCCCACCTCATAAAATCTACCCGCTTTCCCCGCTCAAGGAAGGAAGCTATTCTTGGAAACCAAACAGAAGTTTGGTGTAAGCTGTGGCTTGTGTATCAGCTAATTTAAAGTTAATGGTGTGTGTTTAGGGGATTGAAGCAAATCAGTGTTTTCTGGTGTGAGCTGTTCAAAGAATGCATTTTGGATGTGGCTGGTGGGACGAATGCTTTTAGTAATTTTGGTTTTGTTTTATTTCTCTCAAGTCGATGCCGTTTATCTTCCCCTTAACTTTCAGGTATTGGAAATCTAACTTATGTTATGACAGAGTTTTGGCAGCATTTTCCAGTTCTTCTTAGCTGATAACTTTTCTGACCCTTTTACACTAATACATCTGGTAACCTTTCAGGGCCCTTGTAGTTGTAGTTCATCTGACGTCACTGTGAAAAGTTTAATAGACACAGTTACATTATCAGTTAGAGTGTGCTCATTTCAGAGCCCAGAGCAGGTCACTCAAATTCATTACCAGTGGTGGGTTTTTAACCCCGTACGTGAAGTCAAAGGACATGCCCCTCCTCACCCCTCCCAGCCGCTTGAGTGTGCATGTCCGTTGCCATTCCAAAAGTGTCTACCTTGTGTTAAATTCCAGATTAGAGAACAGCGGACATCTTTATGATCTCTTTCCAAAGTTAGTGACTCTTACAGCTTTAACTTCTCTAGTCTTATTTTTTTAGAAAGTTGTTTTCAACACATGTGTGCACACATGGTGCATCAATGCATGTTCTTAAAGTTGTTCACAGATACAGATAATGATCTGAGTACTCCAACTGTCCGGCCTTCACGCCTCAGTCTATCCTCACACGTCTGTGCAGGAGTGACTTTAACCCAGGAGCCTGCCGAAACACTGGGTGGGCTGATCGGCATCAGTTATAATCATGGGCTGATTTGTTGATTGGAGCAGTCGGTTGGCCCTCAAGACAGTAGGCTAGGCTTCTGCTCACCCGGACTCACCAGTTTCAACTTTGTTGTAAGAAGACCACTGCGGAACTGAACTAGAGTTGAGCGGCATTTTCCATTGGGGTAGAGAGTCGTGTCGTGAGAACCTCTTGGGACGTTTTCTTCTTCTTCTTCTTCTTCTTCTTCTTCTTCTTCTTCTTCTTCTTCTTCTTCTTCTTCTTCTTC